ATACTAAATACTAAAATACTAAACTTTAAAGCTTAAGTACTAAACAAACAGCCAGGTCTCTGATTCACTGAAGCAAGAAAATGTTTGACGACGGCGTTTCATTTTCTAGAAATTTTTGAAAACATAATATTTAAATGAAAGCTGTCAAGCATGAAATTCTTGTAGTGGTCTTTGTTTCCAATTGTCATTGAAGCATTCTATTGTAAAGTCTATGCATTATTTACTGGTTTTAAGCACGCTGCTGTACACGTGTATGTGTGTATTTGTTTCAAAATGTAACTTTTTGTATGAAAATATTTTCATTTAATGCCCTAAACCGCGTGTGAGTGTGTTTATGTGTGCGCATTAAAGCATAAGTGACTTGATTTTATTTGTTATCATTTTAAGGCCGCCGGCAATTTATGTCAACAACAGTGTTGTTGCATTAGGGATTAATTTTTTGCGATTCCTAGCCGGTTTTTTTATTTTTTTTAACTCTTTTGCATTTGCTTTATTTGCTTTTCATTATGAGTATATTCGTCAATGTTTTGAAAACATTTCGTTGTACATTGTACATTTTACATGTACATTTTACACGCACACACACACACACACATCCATAAATATAAATATTTGTTTATATTTTTCCCTCAAGGATTGAGTTAATGCTGTTATTTAGTTATTTTGCTATTTTTATTCTAATTTTTACCTTTTCCACATTTTAGCCGGGGTTTTACACACACATACATATATACATATACACATAAATATACAAATAACTGTATGTAGTTGTGTGTGTACCCGGCTTTTTGTGATTTTCCCTCGGCGTTCGCGTTAATATTGTGTTATTTTCATGCGATTCAAATTGTTTTGATGGATTCCGGCATTTATTTATGTTTTTGCGTGTCTGCGCGATTTTTCACGTGTCGCCTTATAAATACATACATATATGTATATATGTATGTGTTACTAAATATACATATATGTGTGTGTTTATGTGTGCATATGCTTCTGTGTTGTTTATGTCGATTTTTTTTTTGTGTTTTTTTTTTGTTTTTTATATTTACACTGTCAGTCGTAATTGCTTTATTTGCCGCTTAAACTAAATTAGTTGATGGGCAATTGAGATTGGCGGTTGATAAAAAATTTATGATTTCTGTTTTTTATTACAAATTCCGGAAAATCTAATGACAATGTGATTTGTGCTTTTCTATGTTTGTTCGTGATATACGTAAGCTATTTTAATCAAATTTTAGTAGTGTAAATGGGCATAGTTTACAGATTGAAAAAAACCGTTGAGCTTTTAGCTGTTTTTATTGCATTTCTGACTAAACTTGTCGAAAAAAGTCGACGCAAAATTGTATTATTAAAATTCAGCAGTAAAACTTTGGTATGTAACTGGATTTTTTTACCTTTTTTTGATCATAATGTTAATGGCATTTAGTTCTCCGGCCATAGGGCCACCGCGACCGAGGCGATCTAAAAAGCTAATCTTACCCACTTTCCTTTATTTTATCCTTTTTTTCAGTTCTAACGTTCCGCGTTAAGATACAAATGTGTTTGGTGAGATGAGAAGGCTGTGGTATATCATGAAGTTCTAAAACCTGGTGAAACTGTTAATACTAATCGCTATAGACAACAAATAATCAATTTGAACCATGCATTGACTGAAAAACGACCAAAATGCGTCAGAAGGCACGGCAAAGTAGTTTTGTTATTCTACAATGAAACTGGTGGTCAAAATGTGTAAAAAGCAATAGTGAATACTTTGCATAAATATTTTTTACTTTTCCATTCAAATTCCCCATATTCCATTAATATCTCATTTTCACAAAAAAAATCATTTCATACCGGTACACCTGGTATTTCACCAACAAGCCAAAAAATAGTTTAATGTGTTTAGTCTTAAGTAGATCAACAGCATAAACCATTGACTTAGTGTAACTCCGCAGAAAGTTTTTAACGAACTCAAATCACATACCTACGTAGCCAGTTAGTATGCTCATTTCTTGATATGACTGATTTACTAAAAGTTCATCCAAACAAAGCTATGGTCTTATAACTTGAGACTTTTGCTGAGCCTTGCTGGAAACATTTAGCAATTAGGCGGTAGATATTGAAACCGAAAGTCGTGGGTATTCAATAAGTTACGCATTATTTATTCACTTGTAACACGCACTACTTACAGTAAAGATAGTTGAATACTGGAGATGGAGTTTTGCACCAGTATATAAAGACCGATAAGCTCTCTCGGTTCTATGGGGCCTAGAAAGTCTCTTATGTATTGAGGGAACTTCAAATCCTTCATTTCCATCTTTTACGTACACGTTAAATCACAAAAGCGATTCAACACGGCTGTCTCTTATGTGCTCTCGAAGAGGTCATTAGTTTTGGGCAAAATGGTTCCGTTATTAATTTTTATGTATGTAGTAATTTACAAACTCTACGGATCATACAAGTCAAACACATCGATTGAATTTGACAGCTAATTTGATAGCTATCCCTGTAGGAAAATCTATAGCTCTAAAGCACACTCATTTACTGCAGCAAGCGACGACACCCCAGCGTAACTTACTTTTCTTCGTAAGAAAGTGATTATGATTTGTTTTATATTGGTATTGTACCAACAACTGGGATATTTGGTGATAACTTTGCAACTCACACTTTCACAAGTTGAAGAAACAGCGCTTAGAAATCATCGATTAGCATTAGAGTGAGAGCAGAGAAGCTCAACATCAGTTATGAATTGACTCAACCATTTTGGTTAATGTTTTGGGTATGAAGCGTAGCAAAGCTTAACTGCTACCAAAAAACGTCGTGAAGCTGAGACTCTACATTCATCAAATACATCTTTACTGGTAACGAGACGTCGAAACTGTTCAAAAATCTAGCAAATCCAAAAGGCATTGACTTATAAGAAGTGTATGAAAAATTGGATAACTGTCGCCAGAAGTAATTGAAATATTTTATTAGTTAATAGAGGTTAGATGTATTTCAGCCTAATCAATGAGATCTAAAACTAGGAAATATACTTAATATAAGCCTTATTCGGTTTGTGAACGCTTGGGTATTTTCTAACTGTTAGAATTGTGCGAAAATTACTCTCCGCATACTCTGATTTGGAGAAAGTACAATATGTTAGTATACCGTGGGTCACGATTACCTCATCTATTGATCCAAACGGATATTAGATTTGAAGGAAATCACCAGTAGAAGAGAATGATATTCATGAGAGCAGATAACAACTTTATAGTAAACTGCCTTGGCTACTATTTTGTAATGAAGGCAACGTTTTCAAATATTGAAAGTAAACGACGTTTAACTAACCGAAAGTCTTGTAAGCCGCTGAAGGAAAATGCAGAAACCTGCCTTGACTCAAGGCTTTGAAATGTCGACTATATGAAGCTATAATACATTTTTTACTTTTATTCGAAACGGAGACCACTTCAATTTACATAAGCACTCAAACGATTCGGCCATTGACCACAAACTGTAGTCCAATGGATTCAAATCTGTATTTCCAGACAGCCAATCATCCGTAGCTAATAAACCAGGAAGTTCAAAAACTCTCCATCATGAAGAGTATTGCTTAACTGCTTTGTCACGCCTTCTAAAATATACTGCCGGCACACTTTTGCCCCAGTTTTAACCCCCTTTTTACAGAAGTGAAAAACTGTAAATTTTTAAAGAAGACTCCCCACCAAACCATTACAGCAGCTGTATGGTGACCACGTTGAACCCTTGGAATAACATTTTTTGAGTCTTTGGAAGTTTATGAATAAATTTTGTCGTTTTGCTTATTAAAAACTTCTTCAACAGTGAACACTTTTTCAGCTGTAAAAAAGATATTTTCATGGTCGTTAAAGACGTGTCACTGTGAAGAAGCAGCTTCCATCGGTTCAGCGCTATGTCAGTAGATAACTAGTTATTTGATAATAGACTTCCATCTGGAGGTCAGCGCGAATGAGTATTGGCATTGATCTGGTCGAAATATTTATTTCTCTTGACAAAATTTGCTGTTTTCAACACTTATTAACCATTAAATCTTACTCGATTAGCAATCGCCCTAAAAGTATGTAATACTGCAACGGTATACGTCTATTTAATTAATGCTAAGGTGTACTTGAAGATTTAATCAATGCCACACACTTAATATGGTACAAGCAAGCACCGCACTTAACCAGCATAATATATAAGGAGTAAAATATTTCTATAATTTTCGAGAACACAGCTGCTTATGAATATATGTGTGTCAAAATTACATAAATATAAATTTTTTCAACACGTATATTTACCTGATTTTATAAAAGAACCTTAAAATTAAGTAATCTAAAATCTAAAATTTGCCTTGCACACTGAGAAAAATTTTTTTTTTGTTTTTTAATTAAACTCCCGCGACTTAAATTATATTGTTGCTGCAACTTTTAATTACACAATTTACGTCAACGCCACGGCCACCAATAAGTGTACCGTTAGAGCCTGCAATGAAATATGTATGTATACGCAAAAGAATGTGTGTTTGTGTTGCTGCACTTAAAAATCACTCCTAACTTCATTACACTTGGCTAAATGATTTTCATATGTCATATTGTATTAAAATCTCTGGGCAGCCACAAGTAGGCGAACAGCTGCTTTCGGTAAGCGGGGAGCAGTCAACAGTCAACGGCTGCCAACTATACGCAGCAGTGACATTAGCAAGACAGAAGATGGCTTATGGGTAGTCGGAGTAGAAGGAATTCTCCATGGAGCAGCAACATTAGTGCTGAGACAAATGACCGTAAGCACACACGGACACGGACGCTGCCACAGATATGTATATATATATATGTGTGTGTGCGTTTGAATTTGCCAGTAAAATGTCAACAAACGATTTGTCATTTTCATAACCTTGTTTACTGACGCATTTGTAATATCAGCAAAAATAACAATTCCGCAAATTTCACAGATGCACAGGCGAGGACAAAGTCGAGCGCACAAGAGGTTTGAATATATGTACATACATACATGTATGTATGGGCGAGTGTAGCAATCTCGCTTTCAAGATGCTGGCATCAAAAGTGTTGTTTCTTCACTCTTTGGTTTCTTTGCGGGTGTAGACAAGAAATGTTGGCAACAAAAAGCGTAAAAAACAATAATAATAAAAATGAATAAATAACAACAACACATTCGACATGTGATGGCAATAAATCGCTTGAAATGGACTAAACACATACAATCATATACATATGTATATATATATATATATATATACATACATACAAACACTTATTCATTGCCACTGACGCACGGAAATAGGAAAGTCTGCCTCCAAGGAGATATTTATATATACATACATGTACAGAGATATTAAATACAACTGTGCCCGCTGGGAGACAATTTAAATGGAAGCTGGTAAAGGACCTTTCTAGCCCATATTAAATATTTATATGTATATGCCATATTGTCTTATAACCTACTTGTCTTGTAGCCTGCTTTGGCCCCTCGTAGAATATATCATATTAGCTGTGCTTTTTAAGTGCGAAACTAAATGCTGTGTGCTTGTGCGTGACAGACAGCGACAAGTTCATGGTTTACAACTGGCTGCAGTAGCGTAATAATCTTAATATTACACCTATTACATTTTTTTTTCTATAAACCGAAAACTTGTCATAAGAAAATTGCTAAAATGAAGCTAGCTTTTTATAAAGAAAACTTTATTTCACCAAACTAAAGTGTGGGGCGCCCCATTTATTATTAGCGAACCTCGGCCCAGAAGCTGTCAAGCTGTACTCATATTTTATGCATTATTTTTAGTTTTAATATGACAGCTTTCGACTTTTTTTTTATTTTCTTTGAAACTTTCAAAAACTACAGAGCGCTCTGGGACATTGCAATGCCTAATGAAATGGGAAAATGGAAAAAAATTTGTTTGACAACTGATTTAAACTTTGGTTACTCTGCCTGGGACATTACAATAGCTAATATAAAGAATAAGTAAAACATTGTGTTTGGAAAAATTGGAAATGAAATCTGTAAAGAATCTCATCCGCCAGTTTTCCGTTTAAATACCAATTTTCGACCAATGTAAAAATTTTTAATTTTCTATAAGCAATCGCCTCTCGATCGACAATGCCAGAGTGTATTTCTGTCATTTAACAGCATCTGAACGAATCCCTTAAAATGAATGTGTCTTCTCAACCACTCCACTTACCAGATAAGCTCAAGAGGAACAGCACAAATATAAGAGCCGTTTTACTCTTTGTGGGCTAAGAAAGTGGCGACCTATGAATCGATAGAACTGAAATCAAACTTAGGTCCACATAACTCCGGTAGAAACGAAAGATCGTTACTGGCTACAATTGTCTGGATTTCATCAGGTTAAGCTCTTTCTGTAAAGATTTCACTTAATAAGGTTCGGATTATTTTCCTCTCCAAAAACAAATTAAAACAGCTTATGATGATATTTTTGGAACTTGATCGACGGTAAACTCACGGTTCAGCGAGCTTTCGGTAGAGATGCCTGTGCATTTACAACTTGAACATCCCGAAAATTATAAGAGAAAGGTACAAAGTTATCAGAACAGCTTCTCCGCAAATGAATCACCTCTATTAGCCGAATCACAATATTATGCTTAGCATTTAAAATTTGAGAGAAAATTGAGAGTTGTATTATGTGGAGTTTACTGCATATGACTGTAGCTTTTGTAAACGCTTTGGGGCGAACAAAAGTCAGTGACATTGTAACACTCATTTATGATATACGCAGTTATAGAATGGCGCGTCTTCAATGTTCTTGACATGTGCTCTTTATAATTCAATATACTCTGACAAACGTGTATATGAAGTTGCATAAGCAAAACTTTTCGTTGGAACTTTTGTAAATTTTTACACACATATATATATGTATATACTGATATATAAATCGGTTTGTGTGTAAAAGCTTCAAAAAGTGCATTTTCATGACAAATGGCTTGCTGGCAATCAAAATGACAGTTGACGAGGCTTTGTAAGGCATAAATGTCATATTAAATTGGAATTTGGCATACATACGAGGTGTGTTCAAAGGAAAAGGTGAATTTTGAATTTTTTTGAAAAGTACTTATTTGTTCATTAATATCTAGTTTGTCCCCTTCAAAGTAATCCCCTCGGATATAATACATTTGTGCCAACGCTTTTTCCAATCCTCGAAGCACTTCTAAAATGCGCTTTTCGGTCTTTTTTCAATTCTGACATTATCTCATCAATTGTGGCAAAACGCTTTCCTTTCATTCGTTTCTTCAGTTTTGGTAATAGGAGAAAGTCGCAGGGAGCCTGAAATCTGGTGAATACGGTGGTTCAGGCATGATAACGATTTTGTTTTTGGTAAAGAAATGACGAATAAGCCTTAATGTGTGAGTCGGTGCGTTATTGTGATGCAGAACAAACTTCGCTGCCACACGTTTTATGCCCAAAATATTCAAGAAAATTTAATGCCATGAGCCCATTGATATGCCAGCATCCTATGCAATTTCCCTTATATGATTCGACGATTTAGAAGAACAAATTTTTTTACATATAAACATATATTATATGTCCGATTATAACAAAAACAAGATATCGATAATCAAATGTGAACAGCCCTAGAAAAATCAAAATTCACCTTTCCCTTTCAACACACCTCGTATATGATTTTGTCAGTTATCTTTTGAGAGGAGACGGGCTGAAAAGCAGCAGAACTTCCTGAATAAGAATCATGCGAAATAGGTTAGGTACAATACATTTTTCTGGAGGACTCAAGGTTTGTCAATAGTTCTCGAATTCCTTATTTTTCGCTCTCAAGTTTATGATTATCCTCGATGTGTGCTGAGTGATCCAAAATTAATCCATGAGCAACTTAATATTACCCTCTCATTCCGTCAACGTAATTTTGTGATTTTCTCAATAAGTATATTTTGAAAATAGATGAGGCTGACCTAGATAGTTTATAATTATATTTAAATTACACTTCTCAAATATTTTAACAGCAAAAATCTGAGCAGAGCTACCAAAAAGACCAAGATATGTACATTTGTGACAGAAGCTTGGAAACTGTCACAACGATTTTTTCCAGATATATGGCGAATTCCTTTAAGAAAGAATAAGTTATACGGATTGCGAAAACATTACAATGATTTTCCTATATATTTTTTCTGGGCACTATAGACGATATGACGCAGATCTTTTGGTCTCCAAATCAAAAAACAATATCAGTCATTGTTTTACTTGCTGGCTGGCTTCGATTAATTAAAGTTTAGATAATAGCGAATCGAACACGTATAAATCACTCGCATAATCATATGGCGTTAGAAAAGCAGTCGATTATGCCGTTGTAATCACTATCCACATACCATCTGTTCAATATTGTCTGATCCATTTAAATTGCGCGCTCCCACCGAATCAATCAAAACAGGTTATTCCCAGTCTGATAAACCATTTATACCCTGAACATGGTATATTAAGTTTATAACACCCAGAACGAAACGTCGGAGACCCTATAAATTGTATATATACTTATATGATCAGAATGCTGAGCTGAGTCTAAGACAATAATGCAATCTCTGAAAAAGTTGTTTTGATCGGATTACTATAGCATATAGCTGCCATACAAACTGAACGATCGCAATTAAGTTTTTCTAAGGAACCTTTTGTATTTGTGAAGGGTATTTATTATAGCTTCGGTGCATTAAGCATTGGTGGTGGATTTGGCATTGGCAAGCTCATATTGGACCTGGAGCCTATTTTAAAAACGATAATATATACTACTCTATTGTGTTGCACTCAACTGGATAGCTATGTTGTTGCTATTGCATGTTAATTATTGACAAATGAAGCAGAGCTCAAACTTAGCCTACAGAGAAGTTGAAAATCGAAGTTGGCTAATAACTACTTCTCTGATAAATCGAAAAGCTCCAGTACAAAAAAATTAAATTTACCATAGCGTTGCATAACTATTGAGTACTATAGAGCGCGAATAATCTCAAATATGTGCACGGGTAAGTATGACGTATGGCACTTAACTTTTCTAAAGTTTTTCCACACAAATTGGCAATTAAAATTTAGAATAGCTGAGCACTTAGAAGCTCCCTTGAACACCTATAACATATAAAAGCCGATGCCAATGCATAAAGCTGACTAAAAAACCATTGTTTTAGCAGACAAATGTCTCGCCGTACATATGCGGTAGCTGCGCTCACGGTCTCATTAACACTAAGCGGTGCCTACATGGCAGATAGCGCACGACCAGGTGTTAATGCAAAGGTGGAAGCACGCATAATTAACGGTCAAGTGGTAACCATCGAACAATATCCCTATCTAGTCGCAGTTCAAATATGGGGAAGCTTTCAGTGTGGCGGCAGTATTATAAGCCGGAGAGTTGTCTTGACCGCAGCGCATTGCCTGGAACGCGAAAAGCAACCACGCAAATATAGCATAATATATGGACAAACAGATATTCAGGGCGTAACAAATAATATTCTACAAGTGGAAAGCTTTATGATGCATCCGCATTATGATAATATCAATATGGATTACGATATTGGTTTACTCTTCCTTGTCGAAAGCATACCGATCGGGGTAAGTGCGCAATGCATCAAATTGGCTGTGAATAAACCGAGGCTTGGCAGTCGAGCCAGTATTGTGGGTTGGGGCGAAACGCAGACGGGGGCTCGTGGTCGTTTGCATGCTGTCTTCGTGTATACTATAACGCGGCTGCGTTGCCTAATATTGTACAAAAACAAATGGAGAATAACACCACGTATGCTGTGCGCTGGCGTACCACAGGGTGGTAAAGACGCTTGCCAGGGCGACTCTGGTGGGCCGTTGGTTGTGGGTGGCGAGCAAGTGGGTATATGCTCCAATGGTTTTGGGTGTGGTCTTAAGAAGTACCCTGGTGTCTATAGTAATATTGCCGCTTTGCGCGGCTGGATCCAAAATTATGTGAATACGAGTTGCAGCGATACGAAGGCAATGTTTTAAACGTGAACAATTTTGAATTTGAATGCTATACATATTATAGAGGTATCTTTTTTTCCTTATGTTGGAAGATTGCTTTGTACGATACACAGCGATGATTAAGCGAAAATATCAATGTTTAGCATTTTGATAATATATTTTAATAATGACTGTAAGCGAAAGAAACAATACGAATGTGCCGATTTTTTTTATCGATAGCTTGAGAAACCATCTATGTTATTTTTCGTTTTGAAATGTTTAATTTTAGGTTATAACAGATAATAGCGATAACCAAGTTAAACTGCCGATATTTAGCGTGTATCGATTAAAAATATATACAACAATCGATTTTTTATCGAATGATGGAGAATTCATCTGTATTACTTCAACTATATAAGTATCTCGAAGCTCTCTTTGATAATAACATAAATTATCGAGTGAATATATATAAAACTATCGATTTTTTTTTTATCGTAAGTAAGAGAAAACATTTGCATTTAGAAAGAAATTAATATTGTTGATCACTTTTTTTTAAGGAGTGGTCGGATGAGAGAATATTTCAGTTCATTTAGTATCAAACAAATTTTTTTTCAGATTTTGTATATATCGTTAGCTTTAGCACCCATCTTATATATCGTCTTAAATGTTTTTTTAGTAGGTTATGTCAGATATTAGTGATGACTCAGCGAAATTGCCGATATTTAGCGTGTATCGAACAATAATGTATAAAAATATCGATTTTTTATCGAAAGTGGGAGAATTCTCTCTGTAATCTTGAAAACTCTATATCTGGAATCTCTCTTTGATAGTAACAAATATTAAAAACAATCATTTTATGAAAATATATAAAAATATCGATATTTTTATTGGTGGTAAGGGAAAACTCTACATTTGACAACAATTTAATATTTTTGATAACTCTTTGAGGAGAGGTCGATTGGAAGGATTATTTCAGTTCATTTAGTAACAAAACTGTTTTTTTTTTTAGATAAAATAAGGAAACAGACTTTGACTTTTGAATAAAAATTGCATGGCTTATTTCTTAATAAATATTTTATAATTTATTTTATATTATTATATTATAATTATTTGATTATTCATAAATAATACGGAGAGCTGAAATAGTGTAATGTTATAGAAATACAACGAAATCGGTAGAAATAAGCTGCTTATCGATTTATCGCGGTAAAATTAGAAACTGTCTATATAATTCGATATATTATCGATTATTCGATAATTTCTCCATGGCAAACATCGAAATTAGAAACTTAAGCCTTTTATTTACGATCACTTTAGAAGTGATTAGTAGTCTCATTTATCTTCCATTGGCTTTCCATATAAATGATGAAACTTTTTTCAGATTGGATCTTCTTTGCCAAAGTTCTGTAAGGTTGAAAGAATCTTCAAGTGGTAAGTACACTCCTATATATATTTAGCTGAGGTTTGTTTATATATTTTTCTCATAATCTGCCTCTTTCTCTTTTCTTTAAGAATGTTTTAATGGTCGTCAGTCTTCATCAATTTAACGTCTCTCAAATAAGCTAAAGCTGAAAAGCAAAGGAAATCAATATATCGAACTTCACAGATCTCAATAACCATATGGCCAAGTACTGCCGAATACAATATTTAGCTGCTAACCAAATGAGCCACTGAAAATGGCAAGCATGAATATTTTAAACCCGTCGATATGTGCGAAGGGGTCACTTTCATTTTGTCATGACTGTCAGAAGTCGTCAGAAGAGAGCAAGAATATCAAAGTTCTGCTATTACTATCCGTATGTTTATCTGCATGTTTGGGTATCTGATTAAAAATAAAAATTGTTTTCATTAAAAATTTCATTACCCCGCCCATATTGTGTGTGTGTTTATGTCACAAAGGGAGTATAATAATGCAAAAGAAAAAGTAATTTTCCATGACTGTTGCAAACCCTTAAATGTTTATCTAAAAAATAAATATAAAATCAAATATAACAAGGACGATAGCCAAAAACACACGCACATACAAAGGAAGCTAAGGGTAAAAACCGCGCACTCATATGCTGTGCATTGACTAATTGGAGGCGGTTGGGGCACAAAGTCACATGGGAACATACTTGTATATGTAGTGTGTGTGCATATGAAATAGCAATAAAACTGTGTGTTGATAAAATCTCAACGCGCCGACGTTTGGAAGTCAACAGGAGTTTGTATTTTCGCTGGTTTTCAATTGCATACATACATATAGATATATGTATATATACATATATATGTATGTGAAACATGCTCGCATAAATAGTTACCCACTTCTGTGTTAAATTACGCAGTTAATATCTCGACTAGGCACAAACGGACTTTTGGAAAAAAAATGTTATTAATGAAAATTGAGGCTTTTGGCTTACAAATATGTAAGCTGTTTAAAGATTATGAATTTTAATCTGCTTAAATGGTTGACCAATAAATGAGTCAGTTAGAGATAAAAGGGTCAAAGCTTGCAATTAATTTTTAGACCCATTTTTTCTTCTCCAAAAAAATTTTTAACTCGAAATTAACTTTAAAACCTCTAGATGTTTAAAAAATGTTTTTTTTTTTGTCCAAAACTTTTCCTTTTTTTATAATCTACTCTCTCTTTACCCTCAGGCTAAGCAAAAAAAATATTTTTTTTCGCTCCACCCTAATATACATATGTTATTATCATCAATGTTAATACGCTAAACTAGTTTAGATATATTAAACCTTACATATCCAAAAAAATTTTGATAAATTTTTCTAATAGTATGAAAGCTACGTTTTGATATGGTATCCTTCTAATATAATCAATTTTATGAATTTACCTTCGAAAATCACTAACAGCGAAGAGAACTTTTAAACATAAAACCATATTGACCGAGGTGACAAATATGTGGCAAAGACAAATACTTAAAATAGTCTATGCCTCTATTGTCTTTATTGCCTTTCCACTAATGGATAAACAAGGTCAGAATTGACCTAAATTATTTGGAGGAAAATATGAGTTGCATACAACAAGTGATATCATTAATATTAAAATTAACGTACCTGAAAGGCAGTTGAGATAGGTGGACTTCCGTATACGAAGTAAATGGACACATATGCCGGCCGGAGCACCTAAAAACTTGTGGTTGCTTGTAAACACTTAATTACGTACGATAATTGCACACTTTTACGTTTTAAGCTTGCATATTGACACACACACAGACACGTTAGACACATGATTTGAGCAATTATAAGATATTTTCACTAAATTTTCAATTTTTGTGCGCGAAATCGTTATTTTGATTGACAAATATTAAAAATGCACTAACGCTTCCGTTGGAAATGTCTGCAAGTCGATATGGCAGTGTTGATCTGTGGAAAACAACAAGTAGTATATTTATATTAGGGTAAAACTAAATAAACATTTGTTTCATACTAATAAACTTTTTTATTAGCACTATGTCTTTTCATTCACATTAAGTATCACTGTTAATTTTTTGCATAATTGCTATGAAAAATGTCTATAACGTAATTTGTAATTAGTTAAACTAGGAAAAGACATTAACTTTTACTGCATATAAGGCCCTTCACAAATGCAAAAGTTTCGATACAAGAATTAAATTTTGATCGGTCAGTTTGTATGAGATTCAAACGTTGCATTGTACAATAATCCGGTTCGAATTTCTTAAAGATATCTTGTCAAAAAAGAACAAGGTTTCCATTCAAGGACAGAATTTGTATGGCAACTATATGCTATAGTAGTTCGATCTAGAATTTTTTTTGAGATATTGTAGTGTTCTCTTCGACAATAATCCATGCTGAATTTATTGATGATATATGGTCAAATGAAAAAAAAGCATTTATTCATATCTTAAAAACTGAAGAGCTAGTTCGCGTATATACAGACAGACGTACATAGCTAACCCTGTACAGAGTATGAAAAGGAGGTTGAATGAAAACAAAAAAATTGTCTAAACTATTCCCTATGACATACGTAATTACATACTCCACACATTCGCCGTTATTTTAATTTCCTTTCAAAGAAATTATTCATTAACACCTTCAAAGTCAAATTGTCTGTTTATTTATTTGTAAATAAACAAAGTGTTACTACATGCTAATAATTATAATAATAATATTATTATTTAAAACTTAAGCAATTAAATAAGAGACATCTAATGAGACCAAACGCGCATTCTACGCTTAAGGAAACACACACTTCCACACACTTGCCCACAACAGTGAAAATGGTTGAAGAAGCGATACTCGCACTAAATACCCGCCGCGGCTTCTCGTTACATAGGCTGAAGAAGTACATTTGCGACAAATATCAGCTTGAATTGAATCCACAACGGAATAGCTTGATCAGAAATTATTTACGTGCACAATTGGCCAATGACACGCTAATAAATGTGACCGGTAAAGGTTTAACTGGTAGCCTGCGAGTAACAGCGAAAGGGAAGAAGAACTCCAGCAACATTATTGCTACTGAAATGCAAAAGAGTATAGGAGGGAACGGTAGCACGGATGTGACCTTCGCTGCAGCTAAACGCAAGAAAGCTCTAGGCAAAACAAAGAGCGCCAACAAGTCAACAAGTGGCTCGCAAGAAAGAACACCGCCTAATATTATAGTGCAACCGTTGTTGATACCAGATGCACCACAACGTAACTCAATGACTGGTCATGGTCATTTGGAGGCGGGTGGAACGCCTTGCTCCTCTGGTGGACGAGTGGGACGTAAACGAAAGTTGCTGCCACCAGCACAAGAGTACATTCAGTTCTCGCAGGAATATTGAGTGTGGAGTTACTGGCTAAACTCAAGCGTGATATCTTGAGTTTAATTGCAGAGTACAGAAAAATAGTTAAAAAGTTTAAATTAAGTATGGAATAAGTCAAATAGGAAGACATTGTATTCGGCTTCGTGCAGTATTACTGTGTAATACTTTTAAGTGAAGCAATATTGTTACAGTGCCTAATAAGCTTCTATGTGAATATGTATTAAATAATTAAATATGAATTTCATAATTTAGTTAGATTTGAATTTTGTTAGGTTTAATATTTTTTGCCACATTTTTATTTTGTTGAATTAAGCAGGTCTTATTTAAATGAGGTAATACTATTTTGGTGAACTTTTATGTTTTTATTTATTGGCGTTAATTAATATTACAATTAAATACGCATTTAATACAAATTACATTTTAAATTAAAATAATATTTCGTTTGTTTGTTTTGTTTTCCCATAGTTCGGCTAACATTAGGCTACACTATTCGTTTCATATATGTATGTTGTCGAGATTTTTCTATTCCCATTAATTTAGAATAATTTTACTAGAAAGTAATATATTTTTTGCTTTTGTAATAAATTCTCTGGCTAATGCTGCATTTGGAAAGTATCTGCATACAAACAATACTTGAATTTTTTTTTAAATTAATACTTCCTGATATAAGTATGAAAATTATTTCGAAATCGAAGTAGACCGAACATGTTTTCATTGAAATTTTCTTATAAGTTTTCACACCTAAACGACTGGCCGTATTCCCCAAGAATATGCACCTATTTGGTGTATGTATTTTGCACGTGCGTACATTTGACAACGTACAATGTACACACACACACACACACACACTTGTGGCGCGCATAAACATTTCACGTGCAACATAAAAAAGAAATAACAAAAAAACATTGCATTCCATATCAATTGAACTACAAGTATACATGTATAAATACAATAAAAAAAAAAAGTCATTCTCACATTACGCATAGTATGTGTGTGGCATGACTGCAGTTTGCCATGTGAAATTGTGGGGGAAATTATTTGGAAGTTATAAACTAAACTAAATAAAAATCAAATGCATGCCGCATCATGTCACGAACATGTAGTGCTTCGTTTGCTTTGCATTTCAACGCCACCGACTTTTCTGCTGCACATTCTACTATATATAAATTTATTTAAATCTTTGCTTTTTGGAATTCTTTTGTATTGCGTTGTCCAGCTAACGACAGCTTGGCTTAAGACTGATCTTTGGGCACGCGGCGCTTGCGTGCGGCCTTCGTCGTGGTTTCCTGCAATGTAAATGTAACGGATAATATTGAAAAAAAAAATCAACAAATTAATTTGCTAGCTCCGACTCACCTCAGTGACGACCACCTCAGCATCATCGTCTTGTGATTCTTTGCCGCTGTTTGTGGCAGCTGTAACTGTTGTAGTCTCAGCTTCTTTCTCTTCGTTCTCATCTTTTACATCTAAATCAGACTTTTTAGTTTTAGGACTAGATATATTGTTGCTGCTGCTGCTGGCGGCAGTGGTATCGGCATCACCGCCCGAAGTTGCCGCAGCGTCGTCAGGTTGCACGGCATCGGTTTTCTTGGCATCAGCATCGGAACCGGACTCCTGCAAAATTTGCAGAAAGATGTTGAACAAAGTAGAGATACAAGTTATTTTATGCACACTCAGTACTAGCGCTTTTCAATTACCTTCGAACCAGATCTCTTAAACAAGCGATACAAAGTGAGTGATAGTGGTGTGGCACCAGCTAATACAATTGCTACACGCCAAGCCCAAGAGCTTTCATTGAAGAATGATACGATTTTATTGAAAAATGTCTCCTACAATTTGATGCAATCGTTTACAAATACAACAAGCCACATACAAAGGAAGAAAAAATTAAAAAAAAAGTGAAGCAAAATTAAAAATAATAAAATATGTACACATTTTTGTGAGGTTATGTAGCTTAAATGAATTATATACACAAATTAAACTACAATTTTATAATTGTTACTACAACAACACTCATTACTACAAAAGCTTTAATTTATGTTGGAAAAAACGTTCTCTTAACACCTCCTTGGAACGGCCGTATAAATAAAACACGTAGCAGCCAACCGGTATGAGCAAATATGTGAAGTACAAAGCCCACCAACCGGGCTTGTAGTTTATACGCTTCATCAGACGATGCCAAAGCGTTTTCTTTTTGTTTCGATTGTGTTTAAATTTAGAAATGTAACAGATAATTATTTTAGAAATGTTCACGCTTAGAATACATTTTTTGTACGTTAAAAATATGACTACAAAAATAAATAAATTATTATCACTGCATGCTAAACACACTTACCGATTCCTTATCGATATATTTACGCTTAATATCAAAGGTTTTGGCGGCGAAATCTCTGGCCAACTCAACATCGTCAGCGACAATCAAGTTGTCAAACAAAATGCTGTCAGACATCGACCAAAGTTCAAGGCCCACAGCCGACTGTTGACGAATAACAGTAGATAAGAAAAGCAATTATTTGATGAGTTGTCAACAAACAAAGCAAAAAACAAAAAAAAAATATATATATATATTAATTATGTATGTATGTGAATGTGTCATTGAGTTTTGCACTTACGATAGGTGTCATCTTGAATGGTGTGAGATCTTCAAAGTAATCGGGATTGGGTATTTTTCGTGCAGCCCATTTGCCTTGATAATTTGGATTGTCGATGAGTGGTGCACGCCATTTGCCTTTGTACTCCTTGTTAGGTATGAGAGGCGCTTTCCATTCACCACAGCCGACGGCCTTTTCACAAGCAGGATTATCAATCATTGGTGCTTCCCATTCGCCATCCATTTCAGCGTCCCAATCTTCGGGTTTGACGGCTGTTGGATCTTTTCAGACAAGAGTAATGTTTATTACTAGGCTAAAATATTTAGTTTTAATTTACTGAATTTACCAGGTATCATGACAGATTCTTCTTCAAGCCAACCATCAGGTATAACAGCTGTAGGATCTGGAATTTGTGGTGGTGCATCGTCATCCCAATCTTCTGGTTTCTTAGCGGTTGGATCAGGTATCTAATCAGTAGAGAAAAATATAGATAATTGCAATTAAATGAAGAAGTCGAAACCAAAATAATCTGTGTATATGCTTACCTTCTCACGCTCATCCCAGTCTTTTGGTTTCTTGTCCTCGGGATCATCAATTTCACGTGGTGGGTTAACTGGTGGCGCGAACTCTGACAGCAGAGAACCCTGATTCACCACCTTGTGATCAACGCTTATTTCGAATGTATTATCTGGACGTATTACTAACTGATAGAGATGTGGCAATTTGTCCTTGAATGGTTCCTCCAAGCGATCTCTAAATTAAGAGAATTTAATAAAGAAAATGTCATTATTGTATGTACATATATATCTGTTTTGTTTCACATTTTCTTATGCACTTTTATTTTCGCTTTACTTATGTGTTAATGGTTTGGGGCGTGCACACTCATATAAACAGATAATTAAAGCGTACAGGCTTATAACAACATACAGGTGTAAATGACCGGCACGCGGCCACTTAAAGCGTGATAAAAAATCAATACAACACTATAATTAGGAGAGCATGTAAACATGTAATTTATATACTTAGTGGTAGTTATTAAGCAAAATTAGTGTTTAGTCTTAATTATTGTTTGTTCTTGCAGTCATAAATTGTGCTAGCTATCGATTAATTTCCCGTTGCTAAACTTACTTTGGTTTTTTGCAATGCTTTTCCTCGATACTACCATTAATTGGATTAACGTGACGAAATATGAAGTGTAGTTTAATGTCGCTGCCGCATTTATCTGGTCCAAACATAATAGTGTATGGCGTTTTATCGTTAAACTATAAAGTATAAAAATGCATTATATACAACTGAGGAAATATATCAACATTTCAAAATAATGTTTACCTTCTTGAGGTTTTCTGTATGTACGCCATGTGAAAGTAATTTGATATATGAGCCGCCACATTCTTGTCCCTCCTGAAAGCGAAAACAAAAAAAAAAATAAGTACATCAAATGTGTAGAATCAATTTACTATGACTGCATTGTAGGGTGAGACAAATGTCAATGTACTCATCGTATAATTTAATTATATCGCACTAGTAACTTTGTGTATGTAATTGAAAAACTGATACAATGGATTTAGCATTTGATTTGCACATACATATGCTTACTAACCTGCATAGTTACTTCGTACTGCACTACGAGGGGTGTGTCGCTCTTAAAGGTGAATGGTTTGTTAAGCTTTGAAGCAATAGCTGCATGTTTCGCCTTCGATTTGAGTACGAGACCAATGTCTTTCTTGGAAACGATACGTTGTGGTGGCTCCCAATCCCATATGCCGTCATATTTGGCAATTTCTTCGGCGATATCATCTTTCTTTGCCTCCGATTTTACCCAACGTTTGCGAGATTCGGCGATGTCATCAAAGTGATCGGCAAAGTAGAATTTACTTTGATCATAAACGGGGCTTTCGTAGACAATTTCTTCGAGTTCATTTTCATCCTATGGTGAAACGAAAATAGTAGTAGTTAGAAAAAACTGATAATACTATCTTTAAAATAGAATTAAGAAATATTTATAATAATAATAATGACAGAATTAAGCAAGTTTAACTATTGTTTTTCAATGTTTATGACTGTACAACTAATTTTATATATACTTCCTGTATTTTCTATGTAGGTATTTTTTGTTCGGTACAGTTAATCCAATTTTCCAAATATAATATTTAATCGATATAATTCTTTCATTCCTAAATTTGTTATTTATTAGTAAAATTTATTTTAGCTGCTGTCATAACTATTATTATTTCTTACAAATGTCAGTGCAATTAAATAATTTAATGGACACTTAGAATATGTTATAGTTTATACTGAAATTATAGTAACAGCATCTTCGGTTGCTCCAAAGCTAAAATACCCTTCACAAATGCAGAAGTTTCCATACAAGAACTTGATCTTGATTGTTCAGTTTGTATGGCAGCTATATGATATAGTAGTCTGATCTGAAAAATTTCTTTGAATATTGTAGCGTTACCTATTGCAATAATCCATATCAAATTCGTAAAGATATCTTGTCAACTAAAAAAGTTTTCCATACAAGAACTTGATTATGGTCGTTCAGTTTGTATGGCAACCATAAGCTATAGTGGTTCGATATCGGCGGTTTTGACTAACGAGCAGCCTTTTTGTGAGAAAAGTTCAAGTTACTGATGTTGATTATAATACAGAAAAACTGTCAGTTGGTAGTGTAATTGAAATATAAGCCGGATGTTTATAAATATATAAGTATCTATGTATGCGTATTATACCATAAATATTATATATATATTTTTTTTTCTCCTTTTATGCAATGAGACAGACTAAAGTCCCAATATTGTCAGTATGGAGTCATAATATAAACCAAATATGTAATATAATGTAGCATCTTATCGTTTTATTTCCGATATTAACTACTTTTTAAGTTGATTGATTGTTAGTCGCATATACACACATAGGTACATATTTTTATTAAAGCAACAAAGTTACTGCAAAACACCCAAATTGAGGTTATGTTGTTGGAAAATAGTTGCAATTAAATACAAAATCATGATGCTCGTGTCAACAATTGTACGCATTAGTTTACTGGTAACACACATAGCTACTACAATGTTCTTTATTCCCCCCAGTTCCAACCTTATTCTGATATTAGTATCAAAGTACTCTCATACACATTGGGCATGACGTGGTATACAGCTATAACACACATTCTAACTACCATGCGACAGGGGTTTACTATTCAAGGTGTTGCAGGGGAAATACATATACACTTATGAATATACAAGTATAAAACAGCGCTGCCGGTTGCTTTATCAGTGATCGCATCACATGTGCGCCATTGCAATAGAACAAAGGTGGCAATGGCCCTCTTTTTCTACATTGCACCCCATACTCGATTTATTAATTGACATATTATGTATGGCAAATTATGCACTTCTCATTGCGCTTACCTGCACATCCTCTACTTTGCCATCATCGTCAACTTCATCAGGGAAGTCCTGCTCCACGTCAGCTCGTACGAGCGGAGAACTTGCCAGAAGTAATATAACTAGTAATGAGCCTAAATGCAGCCCCATAAAATGTTTGAATCTCATTTTCCAAATTTTTTCTTACTGCTGCCACAATTTTTGTGAATCAATTGATGCACACACACACACAGCCAGAGTGGAAAGCGTACTGTTTATTTTGACTGAAATAATTACAATTACAATTTACAGCAATATTAAAAAGCAATTGAAAATATATTCTTCAATGTTACGTTTTCACCGAACACACTAAATTTAATTAATTCTATTGTATGCTTACTTAATTGTTAACCGCTTTGCTTTGGCTACTATAGTCAAATTCGTTGTATGAGGAACAAAAAGATCATGGAAAAACTGGTGAAAGCGTAAAATGAAAGAATAAACGTTGACATTAAATGCACTGCTATGCCGACTAACATCACCACAGAGTTGCACAAAAGTTTGGCAGAAAATTTTGATACATTTATTTTATCGTTTGCAAATGATTACTCTAACTATATACTTACAACTAAAATATAATCGGTTTAGACGAAAAATATATAATATATCATTATTAAGCATAAAATTGAGGTAAAATGTGTAATTATTGTATATTTTCAGACAAAAACACGAAAGTACAATGACATGTTGGCAAAGTAGTGTACGAATGTGAGAAACGACGCCAAAGAGTCAGTTGACATTTCCTGCGGAAGCGGGAATTATACGTTTGCGTAGTTCTATTGCTGAAAATTGTAACTTGGTGAAATTTGACCATTAAATAGTGAAATTGTTTGCTTTAAAGTCTCCTTGATGTTTGATTTAGTGAAGTTGTGGCGTTTGTTGCTCAAAATTTGTGATAAATCGTAATAGTTCCTTCAGGCGCTCTAGATGCTGTGCATGTTGCCATAGAAGACTCAAAATGCTGCTGCCGGCTTTGCTCAACTTTCATTACGCAAATTTTAAGGTAAACACTTGTTGTGCATTATATTGTACAAATAATATAATATATAATTTTATGTGTATATATGTATGTGAGTAGCATGATTCAATTATATAAGGCTGTGTCGAAGCGGAGCGTGCTTCCTCTTACGAAAGGAGTGTCTGTATCCAAAATGTTTGTTTTTTGTTATAAATTTTCTGTTTACAATTTGTCGATTTTGTGTGATTTACAATCTATCCGTATGCAGTTTTCACTCAAAAAACGCATTTTCATTGGTCGAAATCGTTGTAAAATTTATTTTTGAATCATAAAATCAAAACAATACACAGCAAAACGGCTGATTTTGACGTTATGGATACAATTAATTTGGACAAATTGTTGTTCTTGAGCTATCGACACAACGTTCTATAATTGAATCGTATTATGTACTAGGTGTGTACAAAGGAAAGGTGTAAAAGGTGAATTTTGAACTTTTTTGAAAAGTACTTATTTATTCATCAATATCTACGAGTACATATATGTTAATCTAATTTGAGCATGTTTCTTTGGTGAATGCTTTTCACCTATCAGGGTTATTGTGGTTGTTATGTCATTTTGTCGTTTATTAAGCAAATGATAATTGCTTTTAGACTTTATTGGTTTTGTAGAAGCATTTTTGTGTCAATTGAAAGTGTTATCTAATCCTCAACTTTACATAATGTGGTTGCTGCTACTGAGTTCTGTTCAGGTTGAGTTTTTTTTTTAATGTTGCTTTCAATCCATTGTTGTTCTCAGTATATTTTATTATATTCCAGAAAAATTCGCCGTAACTCTGGGCCTAAATATGCACTTATGTAGTTTTCAAGAAGTCTCAAATCGCATAGGGTGCTACGAGAATACTACACTGTGATGACCCTCGTTACACAGACCTCTCTCTGTTGAGAGAAGGTTTCTTGTTGGATACAGATATTACAATAACCCTCAACGAGATATATTAAGTTTATCACGAAGAAGAAGGAATAACGTCGGAAACCGCATAATTATGTATAAATTATCAGGGTGATGAGATAAGTCGATTTAGTTATGTCCGTCTGTAGTTATGATTGGACCACCATAGCATAAAGCTGCCACACAAACTGAGCGATCAAAAAAATCAAGTTCTTTTGTAGATGTGTAGGGTATTATAGCTGGGTGCAACCGAAATTAACTTTTTTTTCTTGTATTTAAAATAAATTTGAAAAACTGGAAATTCAGTGGACAACTTTCATCATCTGTCAACGGCTAAATCTAGATAAACGGTTAGCTTAGAGTTTTGCGGACATTAGGAGCCGCACACAGTGGAATAATCTACAGCATGAAAACTTTAACAATGTTTTGTGTAGTAAATGTAAAAGTGTATGTATGCGCAGCATGCATTTGTGTAAGTGTGTGTGCGCGAAAACGTTTTGACATATTGAAATAAGCGTTTATGCCAGTAATATGCTTAAGCTAAGCAAATTTATAGTCTGACATTGGATTAACGCACATACCCAAGGCATATGGTCTGCGTACACACACACAAAAACAAATACAAATACATGAATACTGGAGCGCTGCCACTCCACGAAAGAGGAGAGCGAAAACCACGACAAGACCAAGTTGTTATTTGCCTGCTGAATGCTCGGTGCGACATCTAAACTTGGCGACCATTTAATGCCAAGTACAAACCGAAACTTTCACACGTGTCCCACACGTCTTTTGTGCCAACACACACACACACACATATGTAAATGACTTGGAAACACGAACATGCAGTCGCATAAGCATCGGCTGATTCAATTTCATTGGGACTTTAGTCTAATTTAATTTTTCGCTGACTTAACTTGGATTTACAGTGGACGACGCGCAACGCCGCTCCAACAATAACAATTTGGTGTAAATGTTTGGTGTCGCTGGAAGTTTAGTTTGCGACTATTAATTAAGTAATAAAGTTTTGTCATTAGGAAATCAATATGCCCAAGTTAATAAAGTGTTATGCAAACACATTTGGCAATCGCTGCCAGTGCTGCCTAAATTCCGGCTAAGCTACTTGCCTCCATTTTAGGTACGTAAAGCTGGCGCGGTTCTGACCCTCTTATGCGTCACTCTGTCGCTGCTTTATTACTTTGTTTATGATTTTTATGATGCTTATTTTTGTGTTACTGTTGATTGGGTGCTTTCTTTGCATACTTGTTATAATTCTCCGTATTTTTGACTGCTGTGTAGTTGTTGTAGATCATAAAGTCATAAAATACCATAAATTGAGCAAGACTACAAAATTCGTGAACTAAAGTTTTTTTGTCGATATAAGTAGTTTAAAGGTTGAGAATTAATATTCAGAAATACGTTCAACGAAACCTTGAACCGTTTCCACAACGAACGGCATTTCGTAACCATAACTTTCAATTTCATTTCTAAATAATATTGTTTTCTATACTGACATTGCATAGACTATGAATATGGTTTGTTATCAAGTTTCTGAAAAATCTATATAAATCGGCTTCATCGAAGCCAAAATAGCTTTAACAAAAAGTTTTCATACAAGAATTAATTTTTGATCGGTTAGTTTGTATGGCCGCTATATGCTATAGTGGTCCGATCTTGACAATTTATTCGAAAATTGTCATCTTGCTTTGGACAATAATCTGTACCAAATTTCCTGAAGGTATCTTGGCAAATGAAAATGTTTTCATACAAGTATCTGATTTTGATCAGTCAGTTTGTATGGCAGCTATATACTATAGTCGGTCGATATCGGCGGTTCCGACAAATGAGCAGTTTCTTGATTAGAAAATGGTGTGTACAAAATTTTAGAGCGATATCTCAAAAACTGAGGGACTAGTTCGCATATATACTGACAGACGGGACATGGCCAAATGGACTCTGCACGTCACCATGCTTATTTTTATCTATACATATGTATGCATATACTTTAAAGGGTATCCGACGTTTTACTCTGGGTGTTATAAATCTCGTGGCAAACTTTATATACACTGCAGTATATAATAAAAATGGAAAATTCCCATAATTCTGAAATCAAATAAAAATCTGGTTTCAATCATTCCTTAGTTATACAGTATAAATTTCGATGGATCATCTGGTTATATATTATATATATAGATCTCCGGTGCGATTTTAGTGCTAATTAACAGTAAATTCTTAGATTGTGTTTCCAACCCAATATATGATTTTTCAGTTGTCACAAAGAAGGCACTAAAGCGTGAAGTTAATGTTGATGATAAATACGCAGGATTTTCAAACAAATAGTGCCGTTAATGCTTAGGTTGTTAGTATATACCATGTAGTTTTAAAAAATGGTGTGAAGGATGACATGTTTTCCACTTCTTTAAAGTTTCAGAGAGTCAGAGAGCAAGAGAGTAGAAACAATTAATTATTTTAGCTCGGGCGACATCTACAGTTTCACTGCGTCAACTCTACATATCTCTCTGTCTGATTATATCTAATACCTAGATATTTCATCAGATACTTGACCAAGTTTTCTTAGTTCTCTCTCTTTTTCGTAACTTTCTCTCTTTAGAAATAAAATATAATAATAACCAGAAATTCGTAAAACATTTTACAAACTATTCTCAAGTCGCTCTATATCCGTTGCAAAACTCACTAAAAACTGATTTCTTATGAAGCATATTGTTGGATCTGCTGGAAGATATGTTGATTTTCAGCTCTTTATAACGGTATAATTTCTCAAAGCATTTTCAGTTGTTAAATCTAATGGATATAACTAGTTTATTGTTGTTGTATGCGAAATAAGCGGGTTAATTAATATGTAGTGCTCCAATGGCTCACTTCTTTTATTGTCGCGCTGTTTAATGAAAAGGAATCAAATTGAAAAGAGGACATTAGTGGAAAGAAAAAATGCAAGTACTTTGCATAACAAACGCAATAGTGGGAGAAAAGGGTGTGTATTTAGTATATAGAAGAGTCTGTGTATAGCTATGTAATGTTGATTACAAATTCTGTTCTGTGCGCTAACGGACGAGCAAATTTATTGCAAACTCTTTATTATGCAACAAAAAAACTTAGTTATGCTACAAATGACCAATACGAACAACGGAAAGCACCTAAAGTTAGTGGGCGGGGTAAAGGGATATGAGAGCATATCCATTTTGTGCTCGCATCGAATTGTAAAGCTCCCCACATACATAGAAAAGTATGTAAATTTGTATATGTATTTATGAGTGCGCCACCGTTGTTGCTTTCTTCACTGTCATCCTTACACTTGTCCTAAATTTATGCTTTGTTGTTACATAAAATTATATCATCTATGACATGAAAACCTAATATTTTTCTTTTCTGACATAAATTCGCATGAGCGTCGTTTTGTTTCTTCGCCATCTTATGGTACGGAGAAAGTAGTGAGCGCTGTTGTTTTTGTTGTTGTTTTAGTAGCGAATCTCTCTCATTTTGATTAATTTTTGCATATTTTTGCAATGTAATCGGTCGAGCTGTACGCAAAGAAATATGTGGAATTTCGGAAAAAAGTAGAAAGTTTTGGTAGACTAAGCTACCGGGGTGTGTCTAACACCAATACCCTACTTTTGTAGAGAGGAAATCAAGTGGTTTTTATTTGAACTTTCGTTTTTAAA